ATATTTTGCAGGTTCGAATCCCACCAGAGACCGTCACTTTTTTTGCCACTGAATAAATGAACTTTTGTTGAACGGCTGATACGTAGGGCTGATACGATTACAACATCTTGTTCCTATTCAAGGACAGTTACTATTGTTTTTCTATTTGTTAAATATAAAATTAGACTCCGGTTTAATAACCACACACAGTCCGTCCGTAGCAAGGAGCAAGGGATTCCCTGTTGCTACACACTTTAACTCTCCTGGCCACTCCATTGACAACATCCGATGTTTTCTGCTAGCTAACAATTTTCCATCTCTCGACCATAGAAGACGCTCAGAGCTCAAACTCATCATCAAATTCAATACTCACATTTTAGGCCTTAATGGTGACCTGGGTATTCTGAGCGATTACACATTCTCAAACACTTGACTTTTTTTCATATCACCGTATTCCCGCATCATTCATGTTATGTTCCATATTACTTATATATTGCTATAATTAATTTTGACTTCTGCATTACTTTTGTATCTAGGCTTACCTAGTTCACTTTGTGTTTATTTTGTTAATTGCTTAGGCCTATTATTATTATATTATATTATATTATATTATATTATATTATATTATATTATATTATATTATATTATATTATATTATATATGTATTATGTATGTACATTAGGCTTATATATTATCTTATGATTTTTATTGCCGTTATATTTATCTGTATCATAAGCTATCGCTCACACTACTCGATATCAGAGTACTTTGTTTTCCACACTTTTAACTCATTATCTTGCTCCCATCATATATCATTATCCCTATGTCGCCATTATTGTTTATCTCATTTAATCACCCTCCTTTATTTATTGCCGACTGTTTATTGTATTATATTGGATCTAGTATTTGCTAACTTTTGTAATCAGTTACGCTGATGAAGTCTTGAGGACAAGACGAAATATTCGTTCCCTGAATAAATTATATTGTGTTCTACTGTCTAACTCAACGTTTCAGCATCATTATTTTCTGTCTTATTTTCTGTTTTATGACTATATATATATATATATATATATATATATATATATATATGCATATATAGGCCTACGTATATATATATACATTTTGTTATACTTTTATTGTATTTTCTTGTAATGAGCGTTACATATGTAATTTCAAGGTTGCATAACACATTTCAATAAATTATAAAAATTATATTAGACATCAACCTAATGATTATATGTAAAGTGCGTTAGACATCAACACATTGATATTGAGTTAAAAGTAAGCAGTTACTTACAAATATCAATGGCTGTGATAAAGTGTTCATGGGTCAGTTGCATCAATCGTTAAGTATTCATTAAATATACTTAAGCAAAGGTTCATTTTTAAATAAGAAATATAGATCGTTGAAACGTTGAAAGATTAATAAAAGGCATAAATAATGTGAACATAAGGCTAAATCGTAAAGGGTCGCCTATTAAGGACCAGGGATATAGTGCAATATTTCCAGGTGTCTGATATAACATAATGAATTGCCATGTCCACAAAGTCAACTCACTTGTCATCTTAATCTAAATTTGTACTTCATACTTATTAGAAAGTACTATAATTAATTCTATTGAACCTTATCAAGCTATATCATTGTACTTTAGCTGTCATGAGAACAACAAGAGAAAAGAATATGTAATACCTGTAGTTATATATGAAAACATAATTGCCTATTTCATTTAAAACTCAAATCAATCTATTTCCCTCAGCCTTATTGAATGACTTATCTTACAGTGTAGAAAACTAATTGAGTTTGACTTCGAAAACTCTAAACTGGGCTCTAAATACTTGGTTGTATGACTAAAATTACGAACAAATCTAGCTCAACGTCAGAATTTAAAAGTCAACATCACGATTCATTAATTGAGTGATTGAAAAATACACAATACAGTAACCAATTTTAATTATATTTTAATAAAATCCATCAATGTTGGGGTGCCTGACCACTGAAAGCCTACCGGCTACAAAATGGAACGATCGTGTCTTGAAACTATTCTGTAACAAAATGTCCAACTAAAATTATTGTTTAAGTTTTTACATTCACATATATATATATACTTATATATATATATATATATGTATATATATGTATGTATATAAAGACCTCTATAAAATGTATTTACATATATTTATAGAATTATCGAAAGACGGTTTAGAGTTTATCTCAATATAAAATATATATATATATATATATATATATATATATATATATATACGTGTGTATGTATCTAGAAGATGAAATTAGGTGATACCTAATAAAATATTTCATATTGTTTTTATTTCTTTATTTGACCATGTATTTACAGTATAGGCGATACGATTAATATCAAGTCATTCATTTGTGTGAAATATATCAACACATTTGAAAACGCGTGTCATGATAAACTAGTAACAGAAACCAAACGCTTGCTTTAATTTTCAAAAATAATGGCTTTGTCCTGTCATGATATGATTGGCTTAACTTACTCCCTGACTGGGATGATGTGTCATACCCAATTAATCTCCATAGAAACAGTTTCCCATGAGGTGTATACATCCTATAGAGTTGCCTTCTCTGTTTTACCAGATACAGGTTGGAGTACGTTACATCACTTTACCTCGTTCACGACCTTAGCAACTGTTTGTGTTTTTATTTACCAAGTGATCTAAATATAAAACCGGTAATTGCTCATTCTTAGAAGATTAGGGTTAGAGTGCGTCCTTACTAATCTTCCGAAAAAATGATTTGTTGATTTTGTAATTACCGGCTATAATATAATGCTATTTATTCAAGGCGTCATCGATGTACGAGAAGACCTTCCAAGATGCTGTTGCAGCTGATGATGTTTACCGGTCATAATGCTCGAGCCCAAAGCGACCACATGACACCAGATAACTGAAAATAGCTGCAGAGCGTATTCGCTGTCCCTTAGTAAAAATAATAATAAATAAATAAATATAAATATATATATATATATATACTTTACATAATGCTTATAGTAATAATAATGTAAACGATAACATCTAATTTCATCTTCTCGATACATACACATATAAACACGTATATATATAATATATAGGCCTATATATATATATATATATATATATATGTATATATATAGGCCTATGTACTGTAAATGATAACAACAAAACAACGACAATGATGGTGGTGATGCAAGTCTCTTATACACATCT